ACCATGCCTGCGTGCGTGCAGGCTCCACTCAATTAGCAACCACACCTCCAGTTGTGGGTTTTAAATTATCTGAGCAAAGGCCACGCCAGGACTTATTTTTAGTCTAATACTGAAAACTGGTCTGTCCGCATAGCCCTCGGTGGACTGACTTCTGTCTGCTCTACCCGTGCTCTGGGCTGGCTGGACACCCTTCAACTCCAAACCAACAGCACCATGCTCACATTTGTAGCATCGCTGACTCCAGGAGAGCACAGTGCCTTCAGACTGGAGTGACCAGAGATTGACCAGCCAATTAACGTGCAGGTCTGCCACGGTCACCCAGTAAAGGCCATGCCAGACTGGACTTCAGACAAGGTTTGGGGGAATTGGCTGAACCTTAATTACATGGCACATCTTACTGTGGTATATGCTGAAGGTTCGATTCAACTAGATGTGACTTACAAACCACATCACAGTAAAGACATCACTGAGCCATTGTAATCATGCAAGTCCACCAGGCCTATCTCACCTGGGAGAGAGAAAGTAAGGAAAATATTTCCAACACCCAGCCATGCTAAGCATTGGGGGAGGTATTAAATGGGCGAGGGAGAGCCTGAATAAGTCTAAACCAATGAGTCTACAAACTTAGTCCAATGACATCACCAAGATGACAGCTATGAAATCTGTGGACCCAAACTGGTGAGTGGAGAGTTAGACTTAATTGGAGAAAGAAGGGCTGTTTCACCTACCCTCCCACGGGGATTTCTAAAGGGATTTCAGTGAGGGCTTGTGATCCCCAGCAGTTGAAATAAAGGCCCCAAAAATCAGTCCGGAGAGCCCAGCTTTCATTCAGGTGCCTGACATTATCGCCCAATCCTCATGTTCCCAGCACAACTCAGCACTGCCTCTTCTGCTCTTTCTCCCTCTCTCATCTTCTCATCTGATCCCAAACCTCCCTCTGCTGCAGAGCACCCGTAGAGTGAGATTAGACAGCCGAGCCAGCCCTGCCAGCCTACGCAGGCTGGTAAAGTAAAGGCACTCAACCAGATTAGCTAGATAGTGACCCAGACAAAGGGCATGAGCAGAGTCCGGGTGAGCAGCTGCAATGATCCACATGTTGGTTTAGAGCATCTGCCCATCACTGGCGGATCCTCTCGTATCCTGATGGTACCAAACCACGCTTCCTCCACCCAGCCTGTATTCTTTTTTTACCCTCAAGACTTTACCTGTTTGTTGAAGTCAAGGAAGTAAACTAGAGGAGAACTCAACAGCAGAAAATAAGCAAAAGGGATTACCTGACCTTTTCAGAAATTTCAAACATTATCTTACCTTTTAAAAATGAAACTTTGATAAGATTTTAGCATCTTTGTCCTGCATAAACCTTCCATCTCAGAATGCTCTACAGATTGCTCTGAACCTTCTTCCATTCTTGCCTCCATCAAAATGTTTCTAAACTTTGACACTGATTCTTATTCTGTTTACCAAGCAAGTCTGTAGCCACAGACTCCTGAACCTTGTTTAGCTGCTTCAAGCTGCACAGTGACAGGATCACATTACCATTTTGAGTTCTCTGGATGTTGAAATGAGCATAAAGGACCTTTCTCTCTGCATCAGGGCACATGATCAAGTTACCCCACCCCTGCAAGTTCCTGCCTGTGAGCTGAGCCACTATGACCACCCAACTGCGCAATCTTAGTCTGTGACAAACACAAGACATCTTATTTAACACTTTTTCACTATGGATGAGGCTACTGCAACTATCTCATGCTTACTGGCCTCAATAGGAAGACTTCTTGATAAGAGTAGTAGGGATGTCTTCTTTTTTGAGCCCCAGTGCTTTCTGAAGGAAGCATCTCTAGGGCTGCTGTAGTCTAACAATGCTCAAACAAAAGCATATACTCAGAGGAAGGTGTAAGACTGTGGTACCATGTCAAAATATGCAACATCATGGAAAGACTTTCCCAGACACCAGATTTCCTTTCTGAATCTGGCCCTCAGAGTCTAGCCTGACCATGTGGACCAAAGCTGGTGTTAAGATCAACACTACACCCCTATGACCAGGCTAGCACTCACCACACTCCATGGTCCAGCTTGTTACATCTGCTAAATGGCTCTAGCTCATCTGAAGGTGTCCACACCAGTGAATGAAGCTGAGTGGTACCCCATGCCATGCACATACCATGTAGTGGGGGCATCAGGAAACCCAACTCTCTGTCTGGCAGGTCCCAGTACTCACCCCGAGTATAGGGCTGCATTCACATGGGCTGGACAAGGATGCAAGGCAGACTTGAATCCAGACAGCTCTCAAAATGCAGTACCGTCAGATCCCAGATCTCCCAAGTGTGCTGTCTTTGGTCCCAGATCCAGACTGGTATAAGGGTTGCCTCTACACCAGAAACACCATGAGATCCTGGGGTTTCTCCATACTGTCATGAGATCTGTGAGGCCATACCAAACAGTGCCCCTGTCAAAGGGAACCAGAAGTCCTGCTCCAGCCAGCATGTAGGGGGACAGCAGCTGGGGAAGAGATCCCATGCACATCATCATAATAATGCAGAAGTTTCCAAGAACCTATGGTACCAATCTGCCTCCTTGCACTCTGTAGCCTTGTGTCAGGTGCCAGCTAGGCTTGGTGCTGAGATGGAAAGCAGAGGGACAAAAAATACGCTTCCAGAGAAAAACATTACTCAAGAATGGAGACAGAACACCTTGGAGACCGGGGCTGCATTTTGAGTGCTGTCTGGTGTGTAAACCTGGCTTGTGTCAAGGATGCAGCAGTGCCCAGAGGTCTGTGGCCACTGGAGAAGAGGAGGAGGAAGGCAGGGGTGACTCAGAATGTGGCAGGATTTGCTAGCAGCTACACATAGAGGTGGTAAGAAAGGCTTTAACAGTGCTCCAAGGGGGAAATATGTGATATCCCACTCCTTTTCCCAAGGCAGGGGTAGAAAGGAAGGTCAGACCATCCAGGAAGGAACTGGGACCTTCAGGAAAAATACCAGTTAAAAACATATACACCAGGAGCAACAGGGCTACAGGGGGTGAGACACGTGGGGCTACATGGAGCGATGGGGTTTTATCCCCTTGCCCATAGGGACTGTCTGGGCCATGGGGAGAACACGGTGAGCTTCTTGAGGTGTAGGGTCTAACACCCTTGCCCAGCCTACCTGGTAAGATGCCTGCCTCGCACCATGGGCCAAACAGAAGTGACCAAGCGCCGTGACCAAGCTGCCTGTGCAAGGCATTCTCTTCTTTCCCAGGGAACTGCAGCTACCACCAAGTTTGCATGGTGCTTTCTCAACACGGTGTTTAAAATCCAGTGGATCATTTACAATCTTTCAGTGAAACAATGAGAGCTGGGACAACCTACAGGTGCCAGACAAGCTTTTGAATATAGATATTTAAAAGAAATGCAAGAATTTTACAAGAATGAGATGCTTGACAGATTTCCAGATCATCACACCTCACAACATCTTATTTACCTCCCCATATGTTATACACATGTGCAATTCTATGACAGACCATCAGTAACGATAAAAATCAGGGGGACTATGTGTTACTTAGATAACAATTGAGAGAGATCATAAAAAAGGAATGTGAAGGAAAAAGTCAATTACAGCTTCAACTCTGGAGACTTTACCATCTCTTCACATCGTTAAGAAAAAAACAGACAGTCAAGGATGATGTTCCCACAGAGGAAAGAAGTTTTTCAAAAGGAGAAACTTCTGTGCAAGCCACACGACATTTTGCCAGTTTCCTTTCTATTGTTGAAATTTGGCTTTTAGTGAAAATAGCATATATCTAATGCAATGCAAATATGTAGCATGGATCTATGCTGGTGAACACAAAGGAAAAATCCTGGGGAAGGATGGTATGGTCGTTGCATTAATGGTGCTGCATCTCAGCATGATGTCCACAGTGCAGCGGAAGGCTAAAGCACAACACAAGAGCAAATTTTAAGTGCAGTTTTCTAATCAGAAAAGCTTTTAAAGGATACCTGGCCAGTCCCTGCTGTAGCTGCAATCAGATTTCCTTTAAAATCATAAAAGATTGAGCTTTCCAAGGAGGAAACATCCCCATAAAATCTGCAAAGCGGAATTGTCAACAGAGAGGCACAGCCAGCTGCGCTGTCAGTTCTGGGCGTGAGCAGCTGGAATGGAAATATAGCACAGATCTCAAAATAACCGCCTGGTCTTCCGCTCTCCGCGTGCCTGCTCGTTTGGCCGGGATCCTGGTGGGCTGTCCAGCGTGCTGACGCTGCCTGGGTGGCACAGTGTCCCCCAGCGCGGAGAGGCTCTCCGACACAGAAATAATGCCCTCCACCAGAAAGAGCTGAACCAACGGCCAGGCACCTGGCTTCTAGATCTACACTTGTATACATGCTTTGATTTTTATTTTTATGTGCCCATTTTCTACTGCATTTGTGACAACTGAATGGGAGGGAATGCTAAAAAGCACTTCCACCGCATTAAATCTAATTAAACATTTTGGGAAATCTGTTCTTGCTTTCTGGAGACTCAAGGAAAAATGTGATGGCAGGGTGCAGATGTATTTTCTGCAATTTTCTTATGACTTATGCTTAGAAGACTTAAGTCTTTTTTCTTGTATTTCCTATAGCCTCTTTTGGTTTTCTCACCTATCCTCAAAAAAAAACCCCAAACCCAAAAACAAACCAACAAAAAAACCCGCTAAATCAAAGGCCGTAACAAGCACATCGTACAAATATCAATAAACCCGTGTATTGAAAGAGCTGGGAGTCCTTAAAATCCAGCTGCAATTTTAAGTAGTACATTCTTCAAGTTACCATTGCAAAAGTTACCCCTCTCTAAGATAGACACCAGCAATATAAATCATATTTTCTGAAAGATCTAGGGAAAGATCAATGGCTTTGGGAGAAATCAAAAGAAGTAGTGATTAAAGAAGATTCCAGGAGGCAATAAAGCATTTATGCAAAATGTCTCATAAAAACAAAACAAATAAGGGGAAAAAAGCTATATTGGGGGAGCCAGGGGAGAGGTACTTACACTCTTCTTCCATAACAACTATTTTAGTTTCTGAGGCTGGTAAGACTTGTGGTGCTTTCGTTGTTCCTGGGGAAATTAAGGTAAGAAAGTAGTGAACAAAATATCTATTTTGAACAGAGAAGAGTGGGCTTAGCTACTGCAGGGAGGAGGACAAGAGCGGGTGCTGCTGGGTGGCACAGGCTGGGGTGGCTGTCAACGTGTTAGTACTGGTTAGAGGACGCTCAGATGGGTAACTGGGTAACAGAGGCAGATAAACGAGTGGCCTTGCAGGGGACGGCACAGGGCACGCCGGTCTCCTCGCTGTAAAGGATCTCATGCCATTAGGATCTCTGTCGTGATAAAAAGGCAGGAATGGCTCACGACTCACCCAGCAGGTGATGAGCGAAACTGGGGGAGGTTTTCTTAGTCCTGACGACCACGAGAGTGCAAAGACGGGATCACAGAACACGACAGTGAGAAAAATGTGGAGTTTAAGAAAAGGTGAGGTCATCTGAAGAGCCTCCATCCCACAAGTATGTGCAGTTCTGCAGCACAAAGTCATGCTCGTACAAGAGATGGAGGAACATGAAACAGATGAAGGCCATGGCCCAAGGCCGTGGAGCCGAGCACATGTAGCAATTTCTTCTTTATAAACCCGGATACTGGGAAAGTCCAATGTCCACAGTCACCAGCTCTACTCAAGCCCGCTGGCAGCAGCAGCCCCTTCTGGATCAAAGCCCCTCACCACCCTCTAGATGCACAAAGGAGAAAGCACCAGGAGCCTACGCTGTGTGTGCAGCACCCTGTCAGAGATAGGGGGTGAGACCACCATGAAAAGGTAAAAGCAGAAAGAATTTTTTATAAAAGTTTGATTTTTCCTGCAGTGTTTAGCAAAGGGGGAGGGGGGGTCAGTTAAGGAGGTGTCTAGAAATTTTCTGAGGAAAAAAAGAGTCTGAAACAATCACATCTCAGCTGTGCCCTCATGCCCATGTGATACCAATATCAGACTACTCAATAAAGAGAAGTGGGAAATCAGACATTTTTCTAAGAAAGCATCTAATTTACCTCAAAGTAATAAAAATCTGAAAATAGCACCAAAGCACAATATGTTTTGGCTAAGCCCAGAAGCATTTCCTCAGAAACTGACACCTCCCAACGCTTGTCAATGCAAAAGCATTTATTTCTGAGCTGGGCATTTTGTGGAAATACCGGAACTGCAGAGGAGAGATGAGGTGATGGGTTTGGCTGATGGGCATTTTCTAAGTGACAAGGGCTCGCTGCACTGCAGCCATTCTCTTTCTAAAGAAAACCTCTCTTCAATGTGGTGTTTTCGGTGATTTGCAACAGATCTGCATGGCTGAAAAGGTGCTCTTTTGAAACTGGTATAAACCGAAAAGTGGTAGTGGAATAGACCGAAGAGTACTTCGCAATGGCAAGGCTGCCTCATCACACTGAGAAATTTTTACCAGCAGAGACTGAATCTCAGACCTTCACATCCATGGGCCTGAGGCTCTCACGTGTGAGCTCCTTCTCTGCCAGCCAGGACTCGAGTGGGCTCAGGAGCCTCCATCTCTGGCCTCTGCACCCCTGGAGGGGAATGGCGAGTTGGGCTGAGGACACCTCGCTCCTCCACGATGCTCATCTCAAGCCTCAACAGCTCAGGCCACCTCTCGCAATGCCACCTCTCTACAGGGGCACCCAGAAATGTCCCCAAACCTCATGTCTCTGTATCACAAGATGCAGTGTTAGCTCAGGACTTTTTCCAAGTCCTGGATTCACCCGCCTGTATCACAGCAACATTACAGGACCTCCAACAATACTGCTAAGTGTCAGGTCAGAAAGTGTGCTTCCAGCAGACAGTCCCAGAGCACCAGTCGCAGCCAGCCTGCCCGGGACAGGCAGATGCACCAGGTTCCCAGGGACAGGGCAGCAGTAAAGAAGCAGAATATAAAGCAGCAGAACTTACAGAAACAGCAATAGCTGGAGTGAGCTTCTGGGAAAGAGGGGAAGGCTCTGAGGGGAGGCCAGCTCACACGTCTGCTCTGATTAATTGTTATAAACTGCTAGAACTTCACAGAGCACTGTGTTGAGGCTTAGCCACAATAGGATCGGTTCTAAGGAGCCTGGAGAAGAATGCAGGCAGGGACAGAAGACAGCACACGTGGATTCAGAGACAAGCAGATGCCCTGAGAAGTTTTCTACTGAAAGATATCACAGAAGAAGGGAGCTTGCAGAAGTGGGGAAAGCTGTCAAGGTCCCAAGAAGGCCCAGCATTAAGGAAAGAGGGAGACTCCACGACAGCAAGTGCCTGGGTAGCTCCAGGGGGAAGTGAAAAAAGAGTGCAAAGGGGGTGACAGAGCTGCAAAAGCCTACAGCGATCACCATCATCTTCTTTACCTTTGCAAGGGACTACAACTAGCATTCAACTGCTGTCCTGCCAGGTGACCTGCAAATAGCAACAGCAAGGTGTGCATGCAGCTGAGAGTGGCAAGCCAAAGGCAGATTTGCAAGGCAGCTTAGAAAATGGATTAATGAAGGCACTGCCACAGCAGGGCACAGCAGGCAATCTACTGGATCTGCAGCACCTTGCAGCCTGCAGCTCCCACTAGGAAAAGGTACAGGCCAGATCTTTGGGTCTCTTTGGTTGATTTTCAGATCTCAACACATTTCTGGGCAATTCAGGTGTGTCCTCATACCCCCTGTGGCCTGAGTGAGAGCAACCACCTGTCCTTGCCAGACAGCGTGCCTTCCTGCGGAGGAAGAGTTAAACCCCGACAAATGCTGCCGTTACCTGTGCGTGCGGGAAGGGGCAGTTCGAAGTTCTAGTGGCCTGATGTGCATTTTCCTGGTGCCATAACCAGTGTGCAGGATCAGAGCCTTGCAGCGGGCGCTGCTCGGTCACGCTCTTCTTGTGAAAGGGGTTTGCTAGTGACTGGGAAGGGCGAGCGGAGGAGGCAGACAGGGCTCTGATGGCAGGCACATGCTGCCCGCGCATGTTGCACATGGGGAGGGGGTGTTGCACATGCAGCTCCCAGTCAAAACAGGAACAGTTTACATTGCGATGGGACAGCCAGAGCGTGATTCAGAAAAAAAGGAGTGGCACTGCCTCAGTTAGTTTACTCTGGACACCTTTCCTATTGTGATCGGAAAGAACTTCATAGACGTGAAGCATGAAGGCATGGAGGTCTGAGCATGGATGGCCTTTCTCCAGACTTTGCAAGCACTGGGCTTTTACAGGCAGAGTAGCTGGGGGGGAGGCTATGTGATATTGCAGCCTCACAGAATAAAAGATTCAGGACTGCAAACACTGCTGAGGCAGAGGTTAATAGAGAAAATAATGCCAGAAAGCAGCAGGAGAAAGCTACCTTCCTTCACATTTGACTAATGCTAATAAGAGCACAACAGAAAAACTGGATCACACCAAAGGGCTGCAGAGCACAGAGCCCAGGCTCCCGCAGTGGCCCACTGTGAATGGCAGGAGGAAGAGCTTAGGAAACAGAGCTTGTACAGAGCCATCCCTCCCGTAGTCGCACCCTCCCAGCTTCTGGCATCCACTGTAGGGACTTTCTGAGCTGGAGGGTGCACCCAAACCATCATGTTAAGCAATATAATTATTATGACCAAGATAATAATAAAACCACCTAACCTCAGACTCCATCCGCTGAGCTCTAAGAGATGGAGCACACATTCTAGGATGAAAACCAGAAGCAACTTCACTCATCACAAACCTATGGTTTAATTACTTGTCTTCTGGTGAGTTTTGCTTCTCAGAAATTCTTTAAAAAAATAATACATCAAGCCCACCAGCTTTCTTTCCTCCTTACCCCTTTTAAAAAAATACATAGACTGTAAGTTTATTTAAAATGTAAATTAACCACATTGCCAGTGACAGATAACAAAGATAAACATTTATGCTAAGCTGCATTTTTCTTATCTCCCAAGATTGTTTTACTCGATATCCTGAAAGCATGAAACAAAATACAAGACAGATCATGTGCAGAACCTCCCGCTTTCTGCTTGAATGGCAGACAGCTCAAGACATTTGCTGGCTTCTTCACTTACCACTTTTCACATTCAGGCTGCCTTTTGCGGTGTCTTTCCCTAAAACGTTCTCCGCTTCGCAGCTGTACTCCCCAGCATCTTCCAGCTTCACCTTGTTGAACTGCAGTCTGGAAATCTTTCTGTTGAAAAGTACAGCAGACATTTCTTACTCGATTGCTAACCATCCTCATGAATTGATAACCATTCCTGGCCCGGTACGCTGCCTGGTACGTCACCCCTTCCTGAGAGGATGGGCTGCCTGACTTCACAAGTTGAATAGGCACTCAAGCCTGGTCAGGATTCGGATGAGACCCTTCCCAGGAACCACAACCACCATGATTTCCTAAAGGAACATCTCCCTCTGAACCCACTGCTCTTAGCATGTTGCCACGGTTTGGTCTGACAACTGCTCTCATTCGCACAAGAAGTCTTGCGAGGGGTTGAGCCCAAGAGTCCCAACATCCCAGCACACAGAATTTCTGCACTGGAGAAAAGCCACTTTACTGGTGGACAGCGGGATCTGCCTGCAAGACGGAGATGTGGAGATGAGATGCATGTTCTGCACCTTCCTCAGCAAGGAGGCTGAGCAGTCCGGTGTTTCACCGGCTGTGTTCAGCAGTGCCAGACACTCAAACGCGAACACCCACGGGGTCAAGGGGGACTCATCCCTTTCCAGCCTGCAAATTAGAACCCTGTGGTTTGACCTAGGCAGCTAGCCTGTAGCTTTATCCGGGCCAACAAATAGGGCAAGCGCTTTGTCTTCCCCAAGTACACACACTCCAATGTACTACAAACATGTGGGGCTGAACTGCACACAATCATCAGCCAGAAGTGCCTAGAAAGAGCAGAAGACGATGTACGTGATGATTGCCCATGTCACCTAACAACCTGTGCTGCGTGCTTCACGGGAGAGGGAGCAGCTCTGCGGCAGAGCTCTGCGGCGCTACGGGGAAGACGAGCATCGCCTTTCCCACCGGCTATGACTGATGATGATTCTCTGGGATGTCTCTCTGTGTAATAGGCAAAACCTTTTGTTGCCTAATTTAACAGAGATCTTATAGGAGTCTTCAGCACACGCTGAATACCACTCATGAGACCACAGTGGGACCCCCACATTAGGCCCTCTTTTTTACTAAATTTCCTTCCATTTTAGCCATCTTATCAAAACCCACCCTGTGTACTCTTCTCATGAGAACATCCCTCTGCTTTCTACCCTAAGCTTTTATCTCAGGTCTGTGTCATACAGTCGCTTTATTTAGAGTCTTGGAAACACTGCCAGCTTTAGAAAGAGGTCCCAGTGGCCTATGTCGCTGAAGGCAAATAAAATTCCTTTTATGTGGAAAATAATAATTTTTTTGCAATGTTACATGTGTCATCTGAGAAGGACTTTTCTTTGGGCTGTGCGAATCATCGTCCATAGGAAGTCCTTCACAGAAGCACACTGGCATCTTTTTAACACCCTGACATGCTGTTCTACCGGGGGGCATGGCACAAGGACACAGCAGGAACATCTCACTAGTTATATTAGTAAATTAAAAGCACTTGGAGACAACTTGGTACAGCTCCCAGGATACAGGCGCTGCCCTGTTTTACAGGATGCGGTCAAGTGTTCAACTGCATGAGTTTCGGCCCCATGTGGAGCAATTTTTAAATTAATGTTGACAGTATGCAAAGATCTCATGAATCCCTCTAATCCTAGGTCTCCCCACTGTGTAAAGCCAGTTATTTGGGCCAACGTGTTCCAACATGGATGCCTAAACAAGCAGGCTGATTCAGAGTGGTGCAAAGCTGCCTTGAATGCCAGTGCTGTACGCTCCTCTGAATTTTCTCAAGTCTCTTGGAGCAACCTGTGACAGTCCTGGGCATCGTGGTCCTCGCTGCTGTGATGCCTTAGGAGTCAAGCAGCACCCAAGAGACAGCAAAGCATTTAAGGGCCTCGAGGGCCTGTTGCTGCCCGGTGGCAGTTGGGTTCTGCATCTTGCTGGGGAGGTACGATGGGCGCCTGATGAAGGGGGTTGGCTCTGTTGGGCTGCAGTGCCCAGTCCAGGACCATGTTCCCCACTCCCTCCACAGAGGCAGGTGTAGGATCACTCGGCAAAGGGGCGAGGTGGGCTCCTGGTACTACTGCATGCAAGACTGCCCCCAGCACAGCCCAGCCATTACTTTCTCTCAGCTGTCTCAAGCCTCATTGACAGAATACACCATTTGTTTTATAAAGCACCCCTATGTCAGGCTTTTAGCAACTGCTGCAACACAGAGTGAAAGGGCAGGCAGCACATGTTGAAAGCAGCTTGAAAGAGCGAGGCTCTAACTCAAAGTCCTGTAGCAAACACCACCCTTGCACACCAGCATGCTGAGGCTATCTGCCAGTGCAGAGCTGAAAGCATTAACGAACACGCTGCCTTCAGCTGCCAGAGGACAGGTATTCTAATGATAATTGGCTGCGTTGCAATCTCATATGCACAGCGTGTTTCACCGTGTGTAGTAACTGGAAAAATCCACTACAGCATTAGAATATCACCTATGTACGTGATCTTTTACAGATAAAGGGTTTTAATTCCCAAAGATACAAATTAGTAAGTTATTGGTGACACAAAAGGCTAATGAAAGGGGGCACACTTGACAGATCCATCTCCAAGAACAGGATGAGAGACATTTGGTCTTTTACCTAGAACTGGAGAGGAATGTGAGCAGAATAAAAAGCAATGTTGGCATTTATAGCATATCAGCATCAAGGTGAAACCAAAGAGGATTTTTTTTTTTTTAATGCACAAGACTGTTGTACTGTCCGAAGAGCTTATTTTTTATTTTCCATTACAGTTTGTTGAAATTCTCCTGGATTGTAAGATCCCCTTGAAAAATCAAGAGCTTTTTCTTGCTTTTCATACCCCAGACCAATGGTGTAGCTACTCTTGGTCTCCACACTGTGCTGTATAATGTCAGGTAACAGACTCGGGGAAGAGAGATGAAGGGTGCAGAGGAGGATCAGTTTTAATGTGGAGCATAGCCACAGTAAAGAGAATTTCCCTATTCCGGGAAGCACTGAAACAGCCAGAGAGATAACTTGTTTCACAGCATTAGTCATGTGCCTTTTAATTCACATGGATAGTGCCTGTGCGCTAGAAGAACTGAACTGAAGGATGTAAAAGAGACTAGACCTTGCTTGATCTGTGTGTGGCAAAGATGACCAGTCTGTCTCTGTTCTATTTTACTATCTCCAAGTGCTACTGAAATATCTCAAAACTGCCTAGGAAATTGGTTTTTCAAGTTTGTGTTCTTCCTTCTGCTGCCCCCGAGGGCAGGTACTTTGTTCACACGAGGGCTGAGGCATGTTTTTACAGAAATACCAAGTAGTAGCATACGAGGAAGTATGTTGTGCACAGGAGTTTTGCATCAAGTCCCCTGCTGCCCTTCTGGGCAGCGTGTCTCTTGGGGAGGCCAGCCCCTGGGAAAGCCTTACGGTGTGCGTTCACAAGGGTGCCTGGCTGCCAGACGATGCCATTCTTCTGGAGGAAGGCGCTGCCCCAGGCTGTTTGTTCAGTGAAAGGGCCAGGGTCACTGACAGATCCCATCATTTCACTGCAGTGCAACTCTGTTGACATGTCTTTACTCCAGGGGAAAATCTTCCTCATTGTCTTTTCTGACCCTCAGCACATATGACTTAGCCACGCACTAATTATCTCCTGTAGTGCCAGTGGAGGAATAAGCCATGGGGAATATGTTGTCTGCAAGCTCTGGGGGATAGGATTCACAAGGAGACCTTCAGCCTGGCCAGAAGAAGATCCCTCAAAATACCTTTCTGGCCAAGAGGAAAGAGTCCCCCAGAGGGCAGTTTGGAGCGATGAGTAAATCACCCTCTGCAGCGCTAATCTCCAGACTACAATGGGAAACACGGAGATCAGCCCTTGGCCGGGACCTACACAAAGATCCTGGCAAATTCTGGCCAGGAAGGGTGGCCTCATCTGCTGTAATTTAGACATCTCAGAGTTAGACATTTAAATGTGAGCTTGGGCCCTGAGGCATCCAGTATAGTCAGAGGAAAAGAAACAGGCCCTTCATCTCAGCCAAGGAGGAACTTTTCATGACAGGAGTCATGTTCCCACCAGCACTTTGGTCAAGCTTGAATCATTTTCCTCCTCTTCCCTACTGCCAAGTGGAAATGGGACTGTCTTCCTGGGTCACCTCCTCGTGAAGCCATTCGTTTCAGAGCATGTGAGCAGGAGAGCAGCTGCCACGAGCTGCCTCCAAGACACCTACATTTCACTGAGGACTCACTATTCCCTATTTGAGTTCAGCCACTTCTCCATCGTTCAGGACGAAAACAGCTCTAGGATTACTACTGTTGTAGTATTTTATTAGTCTTCTAAGAACAGGGTAGCTAACACATAAGTAATAAAGGAGTCAAGGAATTAGCTGATGAAGACTACACCATATGTGGCCCCTAAATTCTCAATGAAGAACACTGCACATAGTAAACACACCTGAGATCCTAGGAAAAGGAAATTCCCAAATATGACCCTTGCAAAGGACACACTGAATACACTGCTGTGGTTACCTATTAACTCCATTCCTCTCTGTTTGCACGGAGAGCCGGTGGCAGGAAGCACACCAAGATTGCAGAGAGCAGAAAGGCCGGCAATTGCTGTAATGTGTACTGCTTACACTCCTGCCAAAGACTTAATTGGTGCCTATGTACTGTCCTGGCACTCTGCACGGTGGTGCATTTGCCCTGAGAGAGCAGGTTAATGATTGGCAAGAAGATTCAGAATATCCAGTTCCTCAGCTTACAGCCAAGAAGTGTTGTCCAGCAACCGTCAAACGTCAGGCAGCCTCACTGGCTGGAGCAGAGGCTCTCAGTGCCCTGGCCTTGGGGAACACATTCATCTTCCCCAGCACACAGTGGGATAAAATCAGGTAGAAGAGATCACTGCAATGCAAAACAGAGTGGGGATGGCCGTGGCAAAGCACCTCTGTCTGGCAGGGCAGAAGTGGCAGCCAGGAGCATCCTCTCCCCTGCACAGACAGATGGAAACCACCCCAATCTCTTCCCTGCCCTTCAGTTACAGAGCAGCACAACAGAGCTGGGCAAGCCGGCTGTGCCTTGCAGTGCTTGGGAAAAACAAGTGGCCCTATGCTGGCT